ATTTTCTTTTCCTGCAGAATTTCACTTTGAAGGGGTGAGGCTACCCCTTGATAAAAATGCGAGTTTTCTTTTTTCATGTATTATTTTACGAACGGCAAGAGATAGCGAATCAAAATTTAAATAAAAAATACATTGTTCCTTCACGTCTATAAAACTGCAAAATAAAATTTTGCAAAAAATTCAAATTCTTCAAAATTTTGAATTTGAATATTAAATATTGAAATATTTTATTTTGCATTCTTGTAGACGTAAAAGAGCTATATATCTTTTGTTTACATTTTAATTCGCTATCTCTTATCGTTTTCAAGATAATCCACGGAAAAGAAAAGCTTGCATTTTTATCAAGGGATGGCCTCATCCCTTCAAAATGAAATTCGGCACGGAAAGAAAATTGCAATATATTAGTCTTGACTTACTCTACTTACACACAAAGTTTCATAATTTTCTTAATTTCCTGGTTCGATAATTTTCCTTCTTAGTCCTAACAATGAGAATCATATGATCCTGATCTATAAAAAGTTTAAAATAAAAAAGTGTATTCAATATTTCATTGAATCATGTATTCAAACAAAAAGTTATTTCTTTAATTTGTTACTGTTGTTTGGTAGAGCTTGTTAGTTTCAGATGGACGGTGTAAATGTTCGTTGAATTTCTGTAGGATTCGTGAAAGTAAATCGATACGAATACATTAGGGAAGGAACTCTACTACCAGTTCTATACGTACGTGTGGAAGCATTTTAATTACCTTTAATCTGCTCTTCTTTCGTTTCAGTCAATTAAGAACCATTTCTACAAATGTTCGCTGCTTGAATAATTTAATTTAGTCTAATTTAGAAGGAATTGTATATTTTTTAATTTCCCGAAACGTTTGAGACTTTCTTTCAACAAAAATTCCATTTATCCTTTTGTATAAGTAAATAAGTATTTGTATTATTCCTTTTTTATCGATCTAAAAAAAAGAACAATATAATATGAATATATTGTTACCAAATAGTATTTAGAAAGAATGAAGGTATTCTGTCCTTTTCGAAATTTCAAATGATGGTATTACGAATATGTGACGAGATACAATAGAACTTCAATGAACCGAGTCACTGTTTCTCGCGATCTAGGCCAGTCAGGGTCGTAGTTACCCACAAACTCAATAATTCATATTCTTAAATTATACCTTACGATACATGTATATGATCGGATTTCGCAAACATGTTCTGTAGAATTTCTTTTCCAGTCTCCATTTACTTGAGCTGTTAATTGACCAATTAAATCAAATAATTGAGGTTGTTCTATATATACCTATAACTCTAATTGTAATGATATTTCGACTATTAACATATTTTTTTAATTTTTTGTTTGGAAAGTTATATAGTACGATGAATTTTAATTGTGAGGAAAACAATTTTGGTAATTTGAAAAGTTTTATTATTCTTAATCTTTGGTTGTCTGTAACAGTATGAGTATGCAAAATACGTGAGAAATATTTTATATTGAGAAATATTTTTTGGTAGCTTTTCAGTTCGTAAGAATAAAAACTGATGTCAAAGAACAGTGCCATTTTTTTGACTATATCGAACATTATAAAAAGTATAAGATGCATGAAGACTATTTATTAATAAAAATTTAATGATATATTATTTAATATGAAGTTGCGTATTGAAGTTGTTCGAATGTAATTGTTACGAAAGATTCTTCAAATGAAAAATCGTAAATATTACGTAAATATTACTCCAGTAAGAGTGTTTAATTATACCTGTCATTTACATAATATTATCTAAATAGTAAGTTGAAAGTAATAATTGTAAAGAAATTTGTGTTTCCTTGTATTTTACAGTCTTGTGTAAATCGTGTACAATTCTGTCTTGATAAATTATCGTATGTAAAACTTCAAATACTGAATTAGAGATGTATGCTAAATGTCCTCTTTCTTTCTAACTTGATGCCAAAGCAACAAATTTGTATGTTGCATAGTAACAGTGACTTTATTCTACATTTTATTCATGAATATTTGTTATTGTATCATTCAGCAATACCAGAGCTACGAATGCGGAGCAGTCATGAATTTGGGATGAAGGAAAATTACTTGGCGAGTATAAATATGAAAGGCGAGGATTACGATTTTGATCATTAATTTCCCATTTTTTATCATTTAATGCAATCGTAGTAATGTCTTCTTGTTACAAAAATATTATTTTATTTCATTCGCACGTTAATGTTGAAAGTAAAAGTCTTTTTCTTTAATCTTTTCACCAAACTATGCTTGTTTTCTGTTCTTATATTACAATTGTAAATAGATTTGAGGAAAAATCGGATTTTCTTTCTTCCATTTTCAATCAGTTAAAAGTAATATAAAAACGAAGAAAATTATATGAAATCTTTTAGCTTATTCTTCTTTTCAAAATCTTTGTAATCGTAAATGTTTTCATAAATCTTATAAACGTAATTTCGTAAATTATAAATATCGGTACGCTATAATTACAAATATGATTGATAAATCTAAGCAAATGAATACACTAAGAAGGAATAACAAAAAATTATTTTAGTGTTACACTTCAATAAGATTTAAACATTGATATCAACAAGAACTTGCTGCAGATTTTAATCTCCAAAGTTGTCTTATTACATTTTACATTCAACTATAATTTTTATAAATAATCAAATACTGGTATATACTGGTATGGAAATAATGTTGATCTTGCTGCGTTGTTTTTAGTTATTATCCTCGTATGGAATCCTGCCTTTCTTTTTATCTTCTATCAGTATTGTGGGCAACTAAACAATCCATTAACCCAATTGAATTTTATTCGTAGATATAAAAGATGTATATATGAGTTATAAAACTAAAGTACATAACTTTTCTGTTGGTAAAGTTGAACACGCCGTGATCGACGACTGTATGCTATGGCTATTTGATCACTTCCTTTTAATTTCTTTAAAATAATTGATATTCATACTGCATTTACATAATTGGAATAGAGGAATAATTTTTTATTTTCCACAGATTTATTATCTATTTTATACTCGTATAGGATAGTAGTGGTATTTAAAATGACGATTTGTTTCTCGTACTCTTGTAGTACATACTTCCGTTCTGAATGGTACACATAGAGTACCACGAACATTTTAAACATTTTAATTTTTAACATTTTAATGAAAAGCTGGAAAACTTCTTAAAGGTAAAGAAAATTATATCAAGCGGGGTTTTTTTGCATATAGCTCACAGCTTAAGTACTATTTATTATTATTATTATTAGTGTTTATCTTATTTCTTTCACTGAAAAGCCTCAGTTTCACTTGGAAGCAGCTATTTTTGTCGCTCTCTTTGATTTAGGGGAAAAATACATATTCAGAGATGAAAGGGTTAAAGATAATGATTATTTCAAAACAACACACATCTATAGTTTATATGACTTATCCATTTACAATGACTCACCAAACATACTGGTAAAGTTATTCGGTTTCATTTTGAGGCACTCTGTATACAGGATGCTCTATTTTAATCTATAACTACAATTATCCTGGGAACTATTTATTATTTAGAAAATGTCTCGAATCTAATTTTTCTGGTTTGAGAGGACAGTAATTTGATACATTTTGCTTGTTTCTAAGTAAACGTGTGTAGGAGATACGAAAGCTGTTACTCTTCTTTCAAGCGTAATGGTGTAATGTTTTGCATCAGTCGACGCAAAAATAACTCATAAGTACTTAATAACGAATAAAGCTTTCACCCACTATAATAATACAAGATATAATTTATGTTTCATTACAAAAACGAAGAAATAATTTATGTTCACCTGTCTACATCGAAAACCCATCAAGTCAGAAAAATTGCATTTGGAATATTTTTTAACCTTTTGCATTCGAGAGATAACAATCGATCTCCAATTTTAAAGTTCGACATGCAGCATGAAATTTTGTATAATATTACTGATACACGAAATATCGTAACGAAATAGCTTTGTTCCCTGATTTACGTATAGTTTTGCTATGTATCAGTTGTATAAAGTGTCACATATGTTTAACCAGAAAATTATAAATATTTCTAGTGACAAGGTTCTCGAGTACAAAGGGTTAGATAACGAATAGTTCCAAAAGTAATTGTATTTATAGGTTAAAATGAGACACTCTGTATATGAGAAATTGTATTGTCTTCTATTTTTCAAAGACATACTTTACAAGAACATTGGATAATTATAACATCGTCATCACTACATCCCCAACAGGTCTCCTTTAACACACCATAGCCCTCGACAACCGTGATTGAAGGATGTATTTAACATGATCCGACTATTGTCAAATTTAATGATTTCAGTGTCTTTTTCTTTTCTATTCGCAGTCCTTTCCTATATCCAAAACTTCAATCGCTTATAATACAAGCACTTATGATCATAATTCTATCGCGTTTGGTGTCATTTTAATAAAAAAACAACAAATATGATGATGAAAGTTGCATTGTTCAAAAGGAGTGAAACCACCCCTTGAAAAAATTGCAAATTTTCCTTTTCCGTGAAGTATCTTAAACATGGTAAAAGATATTGAAATAAAATTTTGAATTTAAAATTTGAATTTTGAAAATTTTATTTTAAAATTTTATAGGCGCAAAAGAACAATGTGTTTTTTGTTTAAACTTATTTTCGCTATTTCCCACCGTTCTCGAAGTAATCCGCGGGAAAGAACATGTTTCTCACAGGTGTTTCACGTGTTTCACCTCTTCAAAGCGAAATTCGGCACGAAAAGAAAATTGCTATGTATTAAACTTGTCTTACTTACATACAAAATTTCATAATTTTTTGAATTTCCGAGTTCGATACCTTTCCTTGTCAGTGTTTCCTTTTTCCTTCACTCGCGTCGTCCTTTTCTGTCATACTGAAATCTTTGTTCCTTGAGATGGATTCGATTCTGCCTCTTCATAATTGCAACCTTCTAATCCCGTTGGGTGTTTCAATTATCCAATGTTCACTGTATAGATATAGTTACTGAAAGCAGATACCATTACTTATCAACAGAAAGGTGACGAGGCAAACCGTAGACATGTGGCTTGTCTCACACGCGACACCGACATCCTCGTCGAGCAGCTGCGTGGAGTTATCGAGTCCAATCCATGCGGGTGGTACATCATCTTCCGGTCGGGGTGGTTCTGGTGGATCGGGTGCCACGACGCCTGTTCGCAAGATCTCTGCCCACGAGTTCGAGCGCGGCGGTTTACTGAAACCGATCGTCAACACAATCGACGGGACGCCAACCTTCTTGAGCGTCTCTCCCGGAGACTCGGGCCAACCAGGAAGTCAACCAGTCGGCTCCGGAAATTCGGGCAGACCCCAAAGGCGATCGAGGCATGAGCTGAGGCATCTTGATGAAAAGGATCTCATTTTTGAATTGGTATAATTTGTTCTTCTTCTTAGTAACTTGATGGATTGCGTGAATTCTTTGATAAAAAGAATGTCTTTCATTCGAAGTGGCTCAATTGTTACTGATAAAGGGTTCTAATATAAGCTCCATCCTCGTGGAATATATTAACGCTGTATCTACTGGAAGATTTTTACTAATTAGTTGAAGCTTTTTAATACTAAAACAATCAAATGGGTCAAAATGATCCATTCCTGAGTTCTTCTTTTTACAGTTATTAAAAAGATAATAGATGTTTCTCTGAGAATTTATTATAGAAATTCATTTAACAACACACAAATTGAATACACCAATTGAAATCTTGATAGATACACTCTTGGAATTTCTGTAGAGAAATTTCAAAAAGTCCATTTAACTTTTTTATAGTTTTAGTGTTAATGACTTTTAAACATTGAAAAGAGCTTAAGGATTGTCTTCAGTACTAGATTTTCAGACACTGATTATATACTTTATTGGATTGTCTGTAAAATAGACACTCCAAACATTCGAAGTTAGAAGTTTAGAATATGAATTTATATCGTTACATCAGTTGTATTCAATATAAACTGATAAAGCATAGTAATTATAAAATCTGAAATTCAATCATAATTTCAGAAGGAATTGTTACGTTATGTAATTTGAAATGATCCTGTTGTTTACGATTCTAGTTAATGTTTCATTAAAAAAATATATTAAGAAATAGCTGTGAAATTTTATAAATTTTATAAACATTGACATTTTGTATTCTATATTTAGTGTAATTTAATTTCATTTTAACGATATTTGCCTCTACGCGTGTTCTCAAAACGAAAGTGGTAAAGACGATTCATTTTATGTTAAAGCAAGTGTAATTGGAATAAGCTAATAAGAGTAACATAAGTTTTATCTATGTTTGTCATTAAGTAACATAATAGAATTTAATATTTTTCTACCAAACAGTTGTATTAGAAATGTTATCTAGAAAGTTCGAAAATCAGCTGTACAAATAGTCTGGCACTAAATATGCAGTATCCTCATAAATTTGAAATCCTACTTAATGCTTATTATCGAATAAACTTTTCACAATGGAGTCACTATAGTGATACAGTATGCAATTTATGTATGACCGTTACTGATTCATATGAAAGTATTTAAACAGTGGGAGACTCACAACTATAACAACTATAATTGACGTAAATACCATAATAAATTATAAAAATATAATAAAAATGTACTGTTTGAATTACTTAGTTTACTAAATATTCATGTGGTGTTTTAACTGAATATAGTTAAGATTTTGCAAATGTTGTATGTATGTACATATTATATACGAGGTATACATAGAAGAAAAATGTATAAATATACTCGTAATTAAAGAACACATATCCTATTTAAAAAGCTTTGCTTAACACGTTCCGTGCTACAGAAATTTCGATTATATTTTGCTTATGAATTTTATTGATTTTTTAAATAAAATATTAACTTATATTCAAGTTTTTGATAACTTTTATATATTTTGATATTTTTCCTTCATATTCTCGCTGCTTTGTAACACATACCACCATTCGTGAACATGTGTCCTTTAAAAATATTTTCTTGCAGAAATTGGCGTGTACCATATATGGTACACATGGCACTGAACGTGTTAATAAAAAAAAATATGATCCTCAAAAAGATTTGAACACAATCATTTAACGGTTTTAATACCACGTGAAAGGAAATTCATTTTAAAATTTGAATCACGTTTATTTGCAGTCATAACTCTGAGGTCACTTTCTATAGAATCTGAGGAATCAGACCCGATATTTGCATTTAAATGATCAGATTCGAATAACAGTCTAGTTTGATGTCGTTTTAGACGTGACTGTATGAATTTTAAATTCGAACTGCATTGTAGATATATTAATGTGTTAGGAATGTTAACTAAAACGCATATATTACCTTTTAATTTATTCTTGCAGATATTATTTCGTAATCCTTATAGCTGTATATTTAGGTTCAAAAATTTCCTTTCCAGCATTATCTTTATGAACACAAGTGGTATGTTACTGGTGCAACCTCGCAATATTGAAATTTAATACCTGCTTAACAAATGATTCTATGACATAAATGGGTTAATAGATTTTATGAAGAGAGACGAAAAAATATGTGATTCCACTTAATGAAACATAAGTCACTTCAACTGGTCGACCTTCAACATCTTGCCTGTATCTTACGACATCCCCTCGATCTCCTGTAATACTATGAAATCATCGTCATCTAACCAGTATTTTTCAAAATGGTTGCAATAATAAATTAAACGAGATATTGTACACGTTTTGCATAAAAACGTAGCTATTCCTTTACGAAGCAGACACTTCTAACAGTTTCAATAGAAAAGCACCTTGTAGCATATTTTCTTGAGAAGATTTCAACATTTGCAGTCACGTTTACTGAATTACTTAACTGGTGCTAAAATACTCTTATACTTATCATTCTCAATTAAGACTAAACGTACCGGCATTATATCTGCACTTATTCCTACTGCAACTGGTCAAACGACTGGTTATAAAATAAAGGTAAACAAAGTAAACGATACATTTTTCTTAGTGAAAATACAAGCAGAAGGAAAGAAAGAAATGATAAAACTGATTAATTGGACAATATAAGAACTGATATAAAGATAAATGGACAAAGGAAAGTGTTGAATTTTTAATGACATTTGAAACCCGGTCATTTGACTGGTCGCGGTACGTTTAGTGTTAAATCAGTGCAGAAACAAAAAATGATGGGACGTTTTTTAGTGAAAAGAATATTCCTGCTTTCTTTTCATTACAAGGTAATTCCAAACTTAAGATTGATAGCGTACAGAATGAAGCACCTAACTCGATGACTTCAAATTACTTGATATATGGTAACATGTTTGAAACGAAAGTGGCAATTTTAAAGCGTGTTTGGTATTATACTTCGTCATACAACGTTTGCCACATTACCCAAACTTTACATTATTAATGCGATTTTAATTACACCTCTTTCTCTAACGTTTTCGTTGTTCATTATTAAACTTAGTGTAAGTATAATTTTCAAATATATAACAGTATGCAAATCCACCAAGGATGTTCAAATGTACATTGAGTAATTAACAAAACGCGAAAATTGGCCTCAATAAATTTTGGTTTACCGGTCAAATTCAACCATCTTGAACAACTGACTTATCGCATACGATATTTATCCTTCTATATATTATGTAAAACACATGCAATATGTAAAATTTGCACAACAGTAATTTTTCTACAACAATTTAATGATAAAAACAAGTTCCATATTTTCCTTACTTTCCGTGAAAATGACATAAACAATTATACAAATCATCTAATCTCATTCTAACAAATATTATAAGCAATTCTGTATTTATTTGAATATTTTTATATTTTTCCTATCTTATACGTCTAACGTAATTCATTGTTTCCAAATTTCTCATAAATGCATAAAACTCTATAATAAAAAACCATATATTCCAACAAATATTACGAATCTGTACATATATTTGAATATTTTATATATTTTTCCTATCTTAGACATCTGCATAGTTCAGTGTTTCCAAATTTCCCATAGTTGCATAAAACTCCATAGTCTGTTTATAAAGAACGACGTTCCACGGGTTTCCGTTGATGTCACGTCGCTTTCGTTAGAAATATTCCTTTTACGTGCCTACCAGTTTGCGAATAATTTGAAGTCAAGGTAGGAGCCCCACCCTGCATATCCAAAGAATTGCCGGCAGTATGCAATTTGTGAGCATTTCAATTACGAACATGACGTCTTTCGTCTGGCTGCATAGTTGCTAGCGGGGGTTAGTTAACGGGGATCAATTTAACCGTAGGTCAAGGACATCTGTAACGAGCTGGATGTGAGGTCCTTGTGCCACAAGATCCTACAGAACGTGAGCACCCTGTTACACGCGGACCGCGGTTCCCTCTTTCTGGTCCAAGGGGAGAGGGGCGGGGGTTGCATGCCCTCCTCGCAAAATCACGAGCCCTTGTCGGGGAATCCCGTCGGCGGCGGTGGCCCGGGGAAAACGGACAACGGAAGCCCGGAGCAACGCGAAACGGGATACTCGAGGAGCAGATGTTTAGTCTCGAAGCTGTTCGACGTGTGTTCGAGATCGACGCTGCTCGAGATGGAGAAAAAGGACGAGATCAAAATTCCCTGGGGAACGGGGATCGTTGGTTACGTCGCCGAAAGCGGAGAACCTGTTAACATACCGGATGCGTACAAGGTAAGCATTCGTTCTCTTTCTTCGCACCATGTAGACAGGTACAGTGGGGCCCTGAGTTCCGCCCTCCTGATTTACGTCGTTTCTACGTAACGCGGTACTCGGTTGTTTTTAACCAACATTTCTCACTCTACGTGTTTAGTTTTAACACGTTGAATGCTGAACGATTTCACGTAGCAAACTACACAAAATGAAAAAGATATAATATGAAATTATCCCATTGAATCGTCTTATTTTTTTTTTCGCGTTTATCTTATTGAATTGTCACTACAATAGGCAGCATTACTTATAATATAAAAGTGTTTGCAAATAATGTTCGTTAAATTGATTGAATTATAGTAATTCGATTTGATCGGAGATCACCGGTGACACCCATGACATTCAACGTGTTGTCTGAATCAGTCTGAAACTTATTTGAGTAAAGACTTCGCCGTACGATAGATTAATTTTATAATGTTCCCATTGGTAAATAATTTCAAATTATACAGGGTGGACCATGGAGCGTGATCAATTTAAATTATTCTGCTGCCAGCGGTTTACTCGGAAATGTTGTTAGCTAAAATAACATAGTTCAAGGAGAGCTTTAACATAATCTGCGTGTACCGAAGGTGGCCTTGATAACTCTGGAAAAAAGGATTGACAACAAATTTGGTACACTCATCTTAAAGCTCCCCTTGAACCATGTCATTTTAACTAAAAAATTTTCGCTTGAATTACTAACAGCAGAATAATCTAAGCTGATCACGCTTCGTGATCCACCCTGTATAATTTATATACATTTTAAGAACTTCTAAAAATATATTTTCAATAAACATCAGAACACAAGTGCAATTAACCGAGAATTAAGACCATTAGTTGCGTATGTGTAATGGCACCACAGCGTCAGATGTCCTCATCCTTGAATTATATCGTCAAGAAAAGAAATACTAGTGGAATGCAAGGTTTTGAGGTTAATTATAAAATAAATTTACCGAAAACAGATGTGAGGACGCTCTTCAAGATAAAGAACGTATTTTAATGGCAATAAAAAATGATCATTCAGTATGTCTAGTATTATTCGTGAACATCGTGGTCTCTTCGGTTCTTCGTAAATGTTTGTTAAATGTAATCTCTTCTATCATTTTTATACATGTATAAGAAAATGTATCTCCTAATCTGATAAATGCATGTACAGATATGTGTGTTCGCACAGATACATAAATATTTAGCCTGTGTATCCCGACTTGCGTCGCCCACTCCAGAACCAATTAGGACGTAACTCCGGGGCCTACCGTATAACACGGTTGTTACGTTCCCAAAACATGCCATGTTATGCGAATCCGTGTTGTACGAAACAAAGAACTAGTGCAAAAAAGGGAGTTAAGTTCTAAAAATCGGAAAACATATTTACCATTTCTAAGAAAGGTTTAATCTGTTAATTGCGATATTTAATTTCAAAAATCTCTCGTTTTGCGCGCAATAAAATTAAAAGATAAAGCATCGTACTCGTCAAATACAGGGCGAATACACCTAAGGTATACTTTAATGAGAAACAAAAGCAAAACAAAGAAAAATTACATGTTTATCTGAGAAAATAGAGAATTCATCGTTGAAAGAATTAGTATCTTTCAAGGTTTAAGATCGCGTGTATACTCGTCAAACGCAGTTAACTGGTTAACCCTTTCATCCCGAATGGTACACATATCTAGGTATGTATATACCACGAACATTTTAAATGACCAGAAAGCTAGAAGACGCCTTAAAAATTTATTACAAGATTTAAGCTTCAATTTCCCTTGGAAGCAGCTGTTCTTCTCACTCTCTTTCATGTAGGGCAAAAAAATACATATTCAGAGGCGAAAGGGTTATACCTAGCGTCCATTTGTCCTAAGTCTCATGGGCTACATGCATACTTACCATAGCATTGCAATCACCTAAAATTTGCTGTAAACAATTGCCTTGAAACTCTTCCGTTTTAAACCAAAATTCCGTTACGTCTAACAGTAAGAGGTTCATTATAGAATACATGCAGTGATAATCATTTCCACTTCGTAAAAATTGTATTTATTTTTTTACATGTAGTATATTCTTTGAAAAACATTTGTTGAAAATCAATCTTTTTATTTCAGTTCTTCATCATATTAAATTAATGCACTCAAAATAGAAAATATTTTGAGTTTAGCCGAATTATTTTGAATTGGGAAATTCGAGTGCTAAATCTTTTTTCTAAGTTTTTAGAGAGGCACGCCTGCATAAAATAATAAAATACATATATTAATAATAAGATTCTAATTTGAGATTAATTGGGAGATATAAACCATACAAAATATTTATTACGATCTTAGAGAAAAAAATTGTATATTGGCATTTAATATATTGCAAACTTGTTTTGGTATTGCACTCTACACGTGCGTTTAAAAATCGTTTATCTACAAATTTTAAGGAATTTAGAGTTTATTTCAGGAGACAGTTAGAGATTTTATTGTTTGGTAGCGATCATTTCAGAAACAAAAATATATTTCTCAGTATTATTGGGTAAAAAATATTATATTATAATAAAATGTATTTGCATACCCATCGCAGAACAAAACAATGAAGCTCTAAAATATAGAATAAAAATATGTTATTATTTATTACAAATTTCAATAATTTATTACAGTTTGCTATATATGCCTGTACTTACATTTTGTAAATATTGTTACTCTTGTAGAAAATTATTCTGGTAATATTTATAGTAATGTAGATAATCAAACAGTATTTGAAACAATTTAATTTAATGTCACAATTTCTATCAATACATATGAATAAATAAGGTCTTTATATACTTGTGGTCATACTCTATTGTGATTTACTTATGGCAGAGTAAATTATGCACGACTGTGTACAATACTTGTTAGTATTATGAATTTGTGCATGCAATTCGCGTATCTAATTATTACATGCTTTTCAAACGCAGTAATTCTGAATGACGCAGCTACGTATGTCTGTGAGAAGAGATTTGATGAAGCCCAGATGCATATAGGGTTTCTCACAGAACTTGATTACGAATGTAGTCTGTTTCTTAAAAACTCGTGTGAATTTATACAGAAATGTACAAACAGTCCTTCATTTTTTTTCATTTATAAATCGTGAGTTTGATAAAGATATAAATAAAAATGATTGTGATATGCTTAAGATTATTATCACATTGAAAATAACAATTATGTGTTATTATATTTTAGTGCTTTAAACTTAATTGTACAATTCATTAATATTTAGGATTACAAAAAAGACGAAATAGTGTAACATAAAAACATTTGAAAAGGGGTAACAAAATTGTGTATGAAATATAAAACAGAAATAGTTGAATGAAATTTATACTATCAGTTCAAATCCCAAAGAATTATTGATTATATAAAAATTTACTCCCTTTACAATAATTTGTCTGTAGAATTTTTTATATACTTATTTCATCCGGTTTTCCAAATCGTTGAAACATTACTTCGAAGAGAAATTAGCAAACAATTTAATTTTTTTATTGTCTGATATATATTTAATCCTTTGAGTGCCAAGGAGCGATATATCGCTCCTTCATGTACTTGCGAAAAGTTTCTTTTTGTTTTTATTAGTAACAAAGGAAGACTTGTTAGTCCTGTTTTTAGTATTGTGAAAAAATTGTATGAACTTTAGAACAAAAATGACCGTAATATAAATTTTTGTTTATAATCAAGCAGCTTTGTTTAAAATTTTCTGGCATTTCTCGAATATGTATGAAACTTCCCCTGGCACTCACACGGTTATGAGTGAAAAAATATTACTTTGTCATACACGTTTAATTTGAAACGAAAGTTTTTTCGCTCTATCCATTTACTTTATTCTGCTCATACATTTCCTTCTACTGTTGTAAGGCTAATAAAACATGATTACCGATACAATTCGCATTTCTACTTTTAAAATTGATTAGAAGTTTCTTGGTAAAGTGACAGAGACGAGTTCGTTTAGAAAAAGCGATTGTATTTAAAAATATCAATAATTAAGTAATTTCACTTAGAAATTTCACTTAGATTTTATAAGCCTTTTGTAAAATGTATTCCAGTGTACGATTCTTTAACTTATATAATTTACAAGAAATACTTCTTTTTCCGGACGACATAAACTTTTTGGTTCTGAGGTTATATCATTATGTTCTTTATTAACAAAAATTATGCATTATGTATTGAAAAATTTTTTATCTATAATGTTATTTATATTATTTATTGTTAATTATTATGTATATGTTTTTATTATAATGAAAAATCATGAGGAGTCATCATTACCATCTTGTCTTCTGCAAATAATATTAAAAATATATTCTCGTTTTATACAGTATTTCATGAATAAAGAATATAAAAAGTACACATTAGACACATATTTTATTCATTTATATTTTATAATCTCCGAATGATATGGATTCAGTAATGTTATAGTTAATGCTGTTGTTTTTTTACTAAAGAAATCGCTACAAATAGAATTAGATCCGAATCTCGTATATACTACTGAATGATTCTCGTGTGTTTGTGTAGCCCTGTTCTTAGGTAATCAAACAAAACCTGCGATCACTTAAAATATAATTAAACTTGGTTCCAACTTAGTTCATTGAATACCGAAAGTTTTGCGCACCAAGGTTTCTATCAAATGTACTGGTAGTTAATTATTCATCAACAATTTAATTCAAACTCTAAACTTTAAATGCCTTGAGAGATAAATTTTGTTCTGACAAATGAGTGTAGATAGTTTGTATCTTTTAGTTTTCCATAACAATTACTATATATCATGACAAAATTAAGTTCTAGACTTAAATTGTAGAATGTGCATGAAACTGTAGCTTATTCGATTACAACAAACTGTTAATATCTCAGAATTATATGAATTCTTACTTTGATAATAAATTACTAAACATTACTGCATTATAAATTTAATTGTCTCATTTACAATTTTCTCATTTTTAAATAATTTTAATATCAATAATATTATTGATTTAGAAAATAATTTTTTTTTTAATATTAGTGAATTTTAATTGAAAATTTTCACCAAGTAATAAATGTACATGGTATTATGCAAATGTTAAAATCAACAATGGTGTAAACGATTTATTTGAAAGGTTGAAAGAATAAATGAGATCAAGGTATATTTAATTTTAATTTTTTATTTCACCTACTACTAATTATTAACATTTAATATACCTAAAAATTATACCTTGATCTCATCTATCTCTTCAATCTTTCAAATAAATCGTTTACACCATTTCTTAATTTATCATTTAAACGATATACAATTATTAGTTAATGAGAATTATCAGTCGAAGTTCACTAAATGTTACCAAATAAAAATCTAAAGTTATAAACGATCACCAAACTCTTTGTTAATATATCATTTTTCACCTATTCTTTTTATTTGTTTCGTATCCATAATATCACTTCTTCTTTACTTAACACATATGCAAAGTGTAGCAAACATTCTTTTCCAGTTTTTATAATATAAAAAATATAATTTCAGAGTAATATAAAATTGTTTCTGTTTTACAGGACTCAAGGTTCAACCGTGAAATTGACGCATTGACGGGGTACAGAACCAGGGCCCTTTTATGCATGCCGATAAAGGACTGCAACGGAGATGTCATCGGCGTTGCACAAGTGATTAATAAGCTTGGTGGGGAAGGACAATTCACTGTGCAAGACGAAAAAGTTTTCGCTGGATATTTACAATTCTGCGGGATCGGACTGAGAAATGCGCAATTGTATGAAAAAAGTCAATTAGAAGTAAAAAGGAACCAGGTTAGTAGCAGAAAAAATGTTCCTTTATTTTGTAACATTGGTCTCATTCACTGCGGGTTATAATGTCTGGCGTATTTACTGCATGTGTTGTTAACTCATTGCGAAGCATCCTAGTTTTCAGTTCCCTCAGTCCGTTTCAAAGTTCGTCTTTTTATTTGACGTCGTAAACTGAAATCCTTGAACGAGTAGTTGCAAGATATCAATATGCAAGAAAGTTCGGAAATTCCAAATAGAATTTACAAGTTACTTTACATACAGATGTCTGTATTGAGAAAAGCTTTTGATTCGTACTCTGCTCGCAGAACTTGTCATGTAGCGTGCCTTCAAAGAGGTACCCGTATGCGACATCAGTTTAAAAGAGTCTTCTGGTCCAAAGAGAAAATAGGATAAATTTTCCGTTGCATTTTTCTTCAATGCACATACTGTTAAGAATGTATTTGTTATGGTTCAAGTAATTAATCGGTTTATATTAATAATAACCGGCCATTGTTAATATTAACTACAAGAAAAGGTCAAAGTGATTAACACCTTTTCTACCGAAAGTTTCAAAAGACACCTGTTGAAGTTATAACTTAAAATTATTTCCTAAGTTTAATAATTCCTCCTCAATTGAATTTTGGACATTTCCTGTAGTTAATTTTATAATCGTTGTTGGAAAAGTCGAAAATTCGATTTAGAATATATGACTAAACTCAGAAAATAATTTTAAGATAAAATTTCTGAAGGTGCCATTTGACACCTTCGGTAGAAATAGTGTTAATTTGTAAGAATTTTTCATTTAAACTAATTATTAGTAATTCACAACTATCTTCGGTAAACGTAAGGAAAAGAGTGGAAAAATACCATGCATATTCAATTTGTGTTTTGTATTGATTTATATAAAATTGTCATAACATATATAGTATAATTTTATCAATAAATATTATTTCTTTAAAACTTCTTTCTATAGAAATAAATAAGTAATTTATAACCAGATAAATGTACAATTTTTGTTTTGTAGTAATTTATAAAATTTTGTTTTACTTTCTGTGGTATAGTTTTGCAAATAAAAATTATTTCGTGAAAACTTCTTTCTGTACAAAAATAAAGAAATAATTTATAACCACGTTAAGAGATGTACTATAAATTTGTTCATAAATAGTAGGAAATAATACAAAAAAATGGTTTTATTAAATGTACCAAACTACATAAGTAATTATTAATAATTATCGGTAAATGCAATTATTACAACTTATAATGTATATTTACCAAAAGATGCAGATATTATTAACAAAGATTGGTTACTCTTAATGCAAATCGGATTTATTATATCAACCGAAATATATTCACTAAACGATTTTATATATTTTGTAAAGTAGTTACAGTTGTAGAGATTTAAACGACTTGGCGTCATTAATGATACATAGATACTATGTAACAGTTCTTTCTATTGTTCTATACATTCATTATTGTTTTTTATTATTTCTATTACTTCAGTAGTTCTAAAATGTATAGATATTTACATTTTGAAAATTCTGTATTGATCCTTTTGAAGTCAGTTCAACTCAGTTCTCATAGTCGATGTTTTTGAAATCAAAACTTTTGCATTAATGAAAACGGATGCTAATGTTACATTTATCGTTGAATGACATAATAATAATTATGAAACCAATTTATAAATAACTGACATCTGATAAATTGCTAAAATGATATCTTGCTGCGTTTACATGGTATAACAACAAATCTTTCAACTTATGAAATTAATCTGTTTTTTGAATCATTGTATTCTCAAAATAATTAAAACTCGTTTCTCTAGAAACTTAATTCTTCAATCTTATTTTACACTGTCCTCAGAAACTAGAAGCTCAATTAGGTTGCTATTTCTACTTGACGTAGGACAAACTTTCTTTTCGCTAATATATAGTGTAATCCGTCCCCATTTGTTTATAGTGTCAACAGATTCTTTTGTAAAAAATCTTAAAGAGTCACAAAGCTTAACATTCAGATAAGCTTTCGACACATGTCTGACGACTAAAATGATTATTACAATTAATAACGACAAGTTATATAAATTATAAAAATATTTTTGTTGCATATCTTATAATAAATGTACGTGAAAATATTAATAAATAGTTGAAATAAGATCTCGGTAGTTCTAAAGCAGTTTTTCTAGATCAGAAGACTATTTTAAGACGATATCTTTTCACGCATACTTTTGAGACAGCACTTTTATACATCATAAGGTGACTCACCCTACCTTTCAAAGTACAACAGTTTGTCTACTTTAATCTTCAGCCAGTGACACAAACCTAAAATTTATCTTACGAAAATCTAACTTTTTTGCACTTCCAATAAAAACAATCTACTGAAACAGTCACTCTTAGTTTTATTACATTTCTTAAATATAGTTTATAACACAAATTACATACCGTTTGAAATATTCACACAAAATTAATTTGATCTGGAAAATCGTAAAGCAGCTACAGTTGAAGTTTATGTTAATGAGTTTACGACATGACACCTAATTCGACAATTCAGATGTCTTCCATTAACATTGCAATTTATTTTAGAATTTATTATTTAATAATAATTACTAACAAGGAAAGGTATCGAACTCAGAAATTCAAAACATTATGAAACTTTGTGTGTAAGTACAGTAAGTCAAGCCTAATACATTGCAATTTTTTTCATATCAAGTTTCACTTTGAAGGGGTGCAACCACCTCTTGAAGGAATGCAAATTTTTCTTTCCCGTGGATTATCTTGAGAATGGTCGGAGATAGCGAAAAAAGTTTCAATAAAAAATACATTCTTCTTTTATGTCAATAAACTTTCAAAATAAAATTTTAAAGAATTTTATTTTGCAATTTTATAGACATGACAAAACACTGTATTCTTTTATCCAATTTTTTTCGATATATTTTACCATTTTTAAGGAGTGGTTTCCTCGATACCATTCCTCGTAAATATAATCATCAGAATGAATAGTAAATATACTTAGCAAATTGTAAAGTATAATTAATTTTATAAGAGACTTGTACAGTCACTGAAATGTTACAGTAACTCGATCGAACAACTGTATGTGCACACTGCAGACTCCATTAACGTAACCGCAGTAAATGTGTTGGTGTTGTTACAGATAATTATTATATGACAACATTTCATGTGCTCTGAATTAACTACTAACTCTTGACAAATATTGATTGTTGTAGGTGCTTCTGGATTTAGCTAGGATGATTTTCGAAGAGCAAAGTACAATAGAGCACATGGTACTGAGGATTTTAACGCACACACAGTCCCTGATACAATGTCAGCGAGTGCAGGTAAAAGAGAAATATTAAAGAATGGGTTGAATATTATTAAAATCAAAGTTTATTAACTCTGATAGGCTCTTCGAACCCACCGAATTAAAAATATGAGAAAAAACATTATTTCTTTTATTTCAAAATATTTTATAAAATTACTTCTTGTCGCTTATACCTTTAGGATTATTATTGAACAAACGATTTTGGATTGGCATAAATATCATTAAAGAAATGTGATCTGGGGATGTATCGTTTAACGCCGCCGCTTTTTAAGACCCCGTTTAAAAAAGGGCATGTGTAACCCACCGGTGGGTCACGCCGGCATCAACGTATTAAAAGAATGTGAAAAACGCTGCTATAAATCTGTATCAGATGAAGAAATACGTATATAATAAGCATTTCAATAATATATTAATGTATAATGAACTTACTGTGTCCGATATGTGGAACACTGATTAGTATTTAAAAACCAATTAAATAAGACCATACTGAAAAGTTGATGTAAATGAATATTCCATTCCTCATACGTTTCTTTCTTAATAAATTAACCGTGGAATTTAGTTTGAAAAATCTCGCATTATGTGCGCATTAAAATCAAATAATAAAATGTATACTTATCAAACCCAGGGCAAATGAAAACAAAAAACTACAACGGAATGAAAAAGAATTACTCGTTTATCCGAAAAAATAAATAATTTATCGTTGAAAAAATTAGTACCATTTTTCGTTTTAAGATAACGTTGTATACTTGTCGAACGCAGTTAACTGGTTAATACTAGAACTACCGCGCCCAGAATGACAGGTTTCAGTTTTGTTATTTTGCAATTATTGATGCCTTAAAAGTGTTAAACATCCGAAATTATTTAAAAAATAAATAGTTTCACTTGAATACACAATTTTTATAAGTATCACATATTAATCATATTAAACGTTCGGTAGTTCTAGTGTTATAATGTTTATATTTGAAAGATACCTTTGGGTCAAAAATATAATTTAAAAATATAATAGATTCTGAAAATTTCTCTATCCCTAGTCTTTCACGCAATGGTTCGAGCCTTAGTCCTACCAGGGTTAATGACGCCCTATGATTGTTACTGATCATGAAATATTCCATTTAGGTTCTCTTGGTGCACAAAGCGTCAAAAGGCAGTTTCTCCCGGGTGTTTGATTTCGAGGCGAACGACCTGGCCGGCGAGGATTCAGATTCTCGCACTAGGTGAATGAAGTTTGTAATTACGTCCTCATTTTTCTTCATTCAATCACCATAAATAATTGAATTTCCTCGGAAACCTTACATGTATTCGGTTTTGTTCACGCAGTCCATTCGAGAGCCGATTCCCTATAAATGTCGGTATCACCGGCTACGTCGCTACCACTGGCGAGGTGAGCGCATTGATCAACCATTCTTTCTTATATGAATTTCTTCTTCGTATGATGATGTAACAATTCAACTAAATGTTCTTAGACGGTGAACATACCAAACGCCTACGACGACCCGAGATTCGACCCTTCGGTGGATGATGGTACCGGTTTCAAACATCGTACCATTCTCTGTATGCCCATCAAGAACTCGTCGGGTCAGATCATTGGCGTCATTCAACTGATCAACAAGTTCGATGACCTTGCCTTCACGAAGAACGACGAGAACTTCGTCGAGGCGTTTGCCATTTTCTGTGGCATGGGCATTCACAATACGCACATGTAAGTGTAACGTATGGTCGGACACTATCTGAAGTACACAGCGAGCTAAAAATGATCGAAGAATGATTTAACATTTAAGCTACCAGATGGATCAAAATGACCCATACCTGACGTCTTCTTTTTGCAATTATTAAAAAGATAACAGATGTTTCTCTGAGAAATTATTAAAGAAATGGATTTAGCAATACGTACACTGAATTGTAAATTAATTGAAGTCTCGATAGATGCAGTCTTAGAGTTTCTATAGAGAACATGATTCTTTCTCTATTTTACGTATAGGATGTACACATTAATGGCCATGATTACGTTAAATCTCTGGATTCACATTTTACAGTCAATGATGTCTTTCAAACTTTGGAAAAATCTGCTTTTCAAATGATGTATAAATTAAGAATAGAATTATTGATAAATGTGTAAAATTAAAAATAAAATTAATACGAGGAATAGTGTTTCATAACAAATATTCGATAAAGCACTACATTTTGTTTTGTATTTTATACGTTCTGCATAAATTTTCACTCTCAAATTTCTCATATATCCAGCAAAATTCGCAGTATAGACATTATGATTTCGTTAAACGAATCTTGTTAATAGGCCTTGCAATGTATTATTTTTAAAAAGTACTTATTTGTATCTTAGATATCAATGAAAAGTGTATTCAGAGATTTAAAGCTTCTATGGTATGGCATCAGAAAATTGTCGTAATATTTTGCTAATGTCACATTATATCTAATGTCTCAACAAGCATCATTAGATACATTGATATTGATAAAAATTGTTTTCCTGATAAAGCTAATTGCAATGCATTTCTTGAAGCTGTAAAGCATTTCTTATTTGATTACCGTGAAGAAAACATTTGATTGAAATGAATTTGATCGAGACTGTTAAGAAAATTGACTACTACGTACTTAATCAATGTGTGTGTTGTACAAGATATTGCAATTGTCTAGAAGAGAACGAAAATATAAAATAACAATTGTAACATCACCTAATAATGTCTTAATAAAATAGCATGAAACCGTTTTGAATACCATTGCTGATATTTAAAAGATCAGGGCATACAACAAACACACAAATAAACTTAATAATTTTACTCTTATTTACATATAATAGTATTTTTAATATATTAATATCTTTCCTGATTTGACGTTTGTGACAGGTACGAAAAGGCTGTGATAGCAATGGCCAAACAAAGCGTCACACTAGAAGTTCTGAGTTACCATGCTTCTGCGTCGTTGGAAGATGCACAAAGATTAAGGGTTGGTTTTTTCAGTAATAATTAGAAAATTCTTAAGGGAACTATATATTCTACTTAACTCATTTCTTTAACAGTATTAAACAATTCGATTCTTATAAGACATTTTAGCAATTCAGAAACATTGTCTTATTTCAAGAATGATTATTTCGTTTAAGATGTTCAGTTATCAAAATAAAAGATATAGCTTATATGGGGCTTAAAAATCCTTTTATACTACATTAAAAGATAAGTGAACTGTTTTATAACTTACTAAAAGAATACACTGCATGTTTCAACCCTTGTCTAGATTTCAAAGAATATTTGCAAGAATTATTTGAATTATATATTTTTTTCTATTTTTAATTAAATCATATGTCAATTTCCAAAAAATTGTAGAACATTGCAGCTAACGAATCACGTATAATCGAATTTTTTACATTTTTTAAATTGCAAATTTTAAATTCAATAAATTAAAGGCACTAAATATTTGTGGAATATAATTTCTTACAACTTTTCTTCTCATTGCAACTAAGTAAGAAAGGTAGAACGTTTACTTTCTAGGTCAAATATACAATAGTTTTGGTAATTCGGTGTAAAGTTAGTTTTGAGTCAATATGTATGACTATATCCTTTAGAAAACGATACACAATGCGTTTTATCTACCGATCTACCGGAAAGTTCTGTCTGTTTTTGAATGAAAAGAAAGGAATACATTTGCAATACATTTATTAATATTTACTGAACAATATAATTTCCATCGTTACTAATGACCTCTTCCCAGTGTGATGGTAATTTGTGAATTCCATTTCTGTAGAATGACTCATCTTTGGCAACATGAGATGACATTATCCGGCAAGACTTTGCGGTAGACCTAATATTATTATTGCTTTAGAAAATAGAAAAAATATGATTCTTTTCTGATCATTTAATTTCGATTTCAGGGCTTAAGAGTGCCTTCTGCAGCGCATTTTCAGCTGCACGATTTCAAATTCGATGACATTTACATGGAAGACGACGCTACATTAGTCGCATGTCTTCGAATGTTCCTGGACCTGGACTTTGTGGAACGTTTTCACATTGACTATGACGTTCTTTGCCGTTGGCTTCTCAGCGTGAAAAAAAATTATCGAAACGTTACGTACCATAATTGGCGTCACGCGTTCAACGTCGCTCAAATGATGTTCGCGATACTAACTGTAAGTATATTTAACGGAAGTTACATTACATGTAAATAATTGTATTCAGAATCAACGAAAATGTTGTTATGCTTTAGGCTACGCAGTGGTGGAAAATCTTCGGGGAAATTGAGTGTCTTGCACTAATAATTGCTTGCTTATGCCATGATTTGGATCATCGGGGCACAAATAATTCCTTCCAAATCAAGTAAGTTCATAGATTAATTATACCTAGTTATGATTTTTATTTTATTGCAATTTATTTTGTTTATGATAAATATATAGCGGCTTAATAAAATAATAGAGTGACTTTTTTTATCATTTACACACAGAGAAATATAATTGAAAAGAAATTAAACTAATCTGAGTACTTAATAAACAATGTTGTAGAGAGTTTATAGAGAGTATAATTCAATGTATGCAACTATAAATATTATTATACAATTATATTCAAGAATTATTAAGTAGACACATTAGAAAAGTGAAAAATTGTTGAATGGTGAAATTAAGAATGAATAACGAGTTCCCCGTCTTCTTCGGCTAATGGACTGGCAGATATTAAGCTAAATTTGTGCTTAACGAATGAACTTGAATTAACATAATTCAATTTGAATGGATTGAAATTTTGAAATATAATGAATGATTATTATTTCAATAATTTGCTATTAGTTTACGTAATTGGTTTGAATAAAATTAGAATAAATAAAATTACAATTTTTTATTATCTACTGGTACATGAAATGAAGAGTAATAATTTGTTAAGAAAGGAAGAAAGTGTTTCTGGAATTTATAGGTAAGATGAATATTAATTTGGCGTTTACCTATCATTTGTTCTAGTGCTTTATTAAATTATAATTTATTATTCACGTTTTGATGGGAGAATTAATTTTTTCCTTTTGCTAAAACATTGCTACATATCAGAGCATGACAAATTAATTTTGAATATGACTTCTTTGAAACAAACATGTATTCTTCCTTGATATTAAAAAATTAATTTTGTAAAAAGAAGTTAGAAAACGTCCACTTTATGTTGTATTTGTAAACGAAAAATTCATGCAAAAAATTTAGAAGTACCTTCCAAGCAGCACAAAAATTTTAAGCATTTATTCAAACTGTGATGAGAGATAAATATGAAAAAGTAATAACGATCGAACTATTTCGTCTATTCCGTCACGTTTAATCTTTATTTCTTTAAAACATTGGTTTGAAACAATCTTTAAAATCGTTAAACCAAGTAATGTTTAGTATAGCAAATGTATTTTATTACGTACACTATATTAAAAAGATATGGTTTTCTGAATTGTAGGGCTTCATCGCCTTTGGCTCAACTCTACTCCACGTCAACAATGGAGCACCATCATTTCGATCAATGCCTTATGATTTTGAGCAGTCAAGGAAATCAAATTTTATCAAACTTGTCTCCCGAAGAATATTCACGCGTTGTTAAAGTTCTCGAAGAGGCGATCCTCTCGACAGACTTAGCGGTTTACTTCAGAAAGAGAGGAGCTTTTCTCAGCTTAGCGCGGGGCGGTGGCTACAATTGGGCTTACAGTGATCACCGAGAACTTCTAAGAGGAATGTTGATGACCGTCTGTGATTTAGCGGCTATAACAAAACCTTGGGAAGTTGAAAAAAGGGTAGCAGAATTAGTTAGCAGTGAATTCTTCGAACAAGGAGACATTGAGAGGTGGACTCTTAATATTACTCCTATTGTAAGTATCAATAAAATATATAATGGCTAGTGTAATGCTATAATTGCTCTACATTTTAAAATAAGTTTTAGTGACAGAGAAAGTAATTATTATACTAATCCTAATATTTAATGTAGAGCTAACACATTTGTCAAGTGTCTACCATTTTTATTTCTCATATTTAGGTTATAATTCACTATGTGGAATATGATTTATATAGATATTTAAGTTTCAACATCATATAAGATAAAAAAATGTTCGTTTGTCTAGTCATATTACCTTGCCAAGAAAACTGTACGATATCTTTGAATTGTGGTAGTAAATAGTATTAAACATTGTCTATATTTTAGTTTGGATGAAATATTAACAAAAATGGTATCAAAGCAATTTAAGTTTTTAATTCTTCCAGTTATAGAACTTTTTTAGTTTTATTAACACTAGATCTACCAAGCAGTCAAATTGACTTCCTTTTATCTTTATGTAAATATTATAAAAGTATATTTATTTAGATTTTCATGGGCTTGTATTTTGTTTCGTTCATTATTAAATCAGGTTTAGTCATTTCTCTGAAAAACACTTGTATTTTTTCAATGATTGTAAAGAAGAAATCAGGAATAGGTCATTTCGACCTGTCTGGTAGCTTTAGTGTTAA